GCAACTTATTATCTAACACATCCAGATTTAGTCCAGTGTGATTTTATCAGAAAATTCTTGGTGACGTAAATATTTTTGATAGCAAGGTTCAAAGCTGTCACAACTTCTGAGCCAAGGCACAATTAGCAACTTTACAACAGACTCTCACAGACACATAAGTTGCTGTTGCAAGGCATGTTTGGGAAACCAGCCCAGCTGAAAGAAAAAACTAACAGTATATTATCACAGTCAAAAAAATTGAAAGGAAGGTAACATAGATAGTTGAGATTACTTAGGGACTACGTGGAGTTCCCTCATTGGCAGGAGCCGTCTCCCTTGTCCCATGGTGAGAGTATGGGAGGCCCCGATATAAGTCGCCAGGATACCGGACTGGACTTGGTACTGAGCGGCATTAGACAGATACATGTTCAACACCTCTGACTCACATTCCTTATTCAGAGGTGCCCTCAGAGGGGATTTTTGTTAACACACTTGTATCAGTATGGGGTTTTTTTTTGAAGGTATGAACCTTCTCTGAGCACTCAAGTGTTTATAGTAGGAGACCGAAAGGAGAAACGAGGATAGGGGGAGATGAGGTAAACGCAGTTGTTATCGAACGACTTTACTTTCGTCAGGGCACCGACCAGGAGAGAGAAAATAGAAAAAAGAAAGAGGAAAAAAAAAGAAAGAAAAGAAGAAAAAAAAAAAAAGAAAAAAAAAAAAGATGGGAATATGAAGCCGCAACACTTAACTACCGTCCAGTAAAAACTAATAGATCGAAATCGGAACATTAATATGCATATTGGCATAAGTACATCAGTTGGCTGCTAATAACTGAATCAACCATAAGCAGAGTGTGAAAAAATAAAGTACCGTCATCGTGTGGTGGTGTAATAATAACGATGTCTACATACCAATTACATAGGAACGTAGTTGACTGGAGATGGTCTGTTGGATCTGATCCCTCATTAGGAATATAAGAGATACGTCAGAAAACCAAAGCATTATCCACCAGAATCGTACATCGAAGTCTGATGGTTAAATTATATAGTCATACACATGTACAACAGGGTCCACTAGAGGGGGAAACTCTTTAGTGAAACAAACAAAAATAGGGCAATCTTAGCTACAGAACAGACGAAAAAAGTAGGGAGAAATCTCGCAATTATGAGTCTACATTTCCAAAAACAAAAAGAAAAATGCAGAGGCCGGTGCATGCCGTGCCGCTATCTCTTCCTTCACACTACCAAGAAAGGAAATCATAAGATTCATCTCAAATTGCGACGTCGCAGAATGCCAGCGACGGGGACAAAGTCGGACATCATTGGTTAACCTAGTCTAAGAGTGGTAGAGCATTAGTAAATCAAGAGAAGAACAAATGAAGGTATGATACATAGATTACCATACTGATAGGTAGACGAATAATTGTGATCAAGTATAAATGGTGCGCAGATAACTGAGGTTGAGTGGAAAAGTGGAGTGGGAATAGAGGAAAGAACATAAGCAAGTACCAAAAGAGAATGAGTCATCATCTACTCCAATGAAATGTAGGTGACAAATGGAGGAGAAGATGGAGGAAGTGCGGGCCTACTCACTGCTTGTGCCATAATGTCCTCTCCACCCAAACTGAGAGCAGGGTCTCACAAGGTAGCCTGATGACCTGTGTCGGAAAATACATGAAGAACCATCAAACCAGAGCACTGGACGGGCTGATCCTCTGCAGTAGACACATATTTAAACCAGCACCCTCGTCCCCCTCAACCACCTCCCTCACCACATCTCGAGTGTGTATCTCCACTCCATTGACCTCGAAAAGAAGAAATGAGGATCCCCTGCTGCACTACTGGACTACTGTTGGTGTCAATCATAGTGTTTGAGGGAATCGGGGAAAGGTCCGTTGGACATGGAGTCTCAGGTGCAAATCATCTGAGACAAAAAGGCAACCAAATTCTAGACAAGACTAGGTTACAACGAGAATACTAAAAAAAACGCAGTGGAGGAGGAGTAGCGTGAGGAGTTGATAGTGAGGTAGAATGTGGGGCGGAGATATTAAAATTCTTAGTTGAAGAATGAATTTCGTAAAAAATGCATGTGGAATCTAGGAATTAAAATAATAAAAAAAAAAAAGAAAGAAAGTAATAATGCAAATGATAAAAAATATAAAAATCAATAAAAAAAAAAATAACTATAATAATAAATTAAAGAAAAAAAAAAAACAAAAAATAATAAAAGAAAAAATCTACAAAAAATAAATCTGAAAAAAAGTACAGCAGATACCCCTCCCCCATTAGTAATATTCATACCATTCCTACAAAAAAAAAATAAAAAATATAAAAACATGAAAGAAAAAATATAGATATAAAAAAAAAAAAAAATTCCCGATAATAAAATACATATAACAATTTACATCAGAAACAATCCCATCAAAAAAAAAAAATTTACCTAAATCCCTAATAAAAAAAAAATAAAAAAAAAATAAAAAAAAAGAAGATTGAAAAAAAAAAAAAAACAAATTACAAAAAAAAAAAAAAAAAAAAGAAGATTTAAAAAATATTCAGAATAAAAAAAAATCATCAAACAAAAAAAAAAAAAAAAAAAAAAAAAAAAAAAGAAAAAACAGACAAAAAAAAATTAAAAATAATAAAATTTCCCGTAAAAAATATATAATTAATCAAATAAAATAAAAAAAAGGTATTACAACCAACCAATAAAAAAAAAAAAAAAATTAAAAGAAAATTTTGAATAAAAAAAAAAAAAAAAAAAAAAATTCATATACACAGAAAAAAAATCTAATAATACATTTTATATTCCTCACATCCTCAACAAAAAAAAAAAAAAAAAAAAAGATGATGAATTCCACAACGAAAAAAACAACTAAACACAAAACACAAAAAAACCATCAATTACCATTCCCCTTTAGGCCATGCATCCCCATCAATTGCTACAAAAAAAAAGAACAAGACCTGCCGTGGGCTTGTCGCTCTTTTCTCCCACAACATGTACCTTGATAGCCTACCATCCCACCAGCAAGCACATGGAAGACTTGCGCAATGAGAACGAAAGACTTTCAGCTGAAGTAAACCATCAAGAATAGCTTGTCAGTGTCGCATGATGGACGCAAGTCATAAATCCACTGCGCACATGTGGAGTATGCACAATGCGTTGGAAATAGCGACAATGCCCACTTCATGCGTATCCATATGTCGCAGGCCAAATGTGAAGGAAATATTGTGGTAAAAAGTGTGATTGTACTCCAGAAATACCCGCCCACCTTTACCCCACTCTCACTCCCTCGCTACCTCCCTCCTCCCTCTCAGACGTGTCACCTCAGCTGCTAGAGGTGCTGTCTCAGATGATGCACCCTGACCCCAGCCAACGACCCTCGACCTCAAACCTACTGAGACACACCAGAGTCCAGAGGGCAGTGTGGAGAGGTCACTGGAGGAGACTCACTCGAGGAGTGGTGAGGGAGGGGAGGGGGAGAGGGTGTGGCTTTACCTCTTGTCTACTGCAGAGCTCAGCCGTCCAGTGGGTGATGGTTCCTCTGTACCGACCAGTCCTCCTGCTCCTTGTCTACCTGCTCAGTTGGTGGAGAGGACAGGCAGCAGTTGAGTCGGCCTCCCCTCCTCCTCCTCCTCCATTTGTCCCTCCTTTCATTGGAGTAGCTGATGACTCATTCTCTGGTACTCTCTCGTTCCCTCTCTCCCTTCTCTTCCCCTCCCCCTCTCCCCCCTCCTTCTCTCTCCATCTCTTTCCCCTTCTACCTCTCTCGTTCACTATTCTCCCTCCCTTTTTCTTCCACTCCCTCACTCTTAGACTAGGTTCACAATATGTCGCATTGCCCCGTCGCCTGCATTGCCGTGCCGCGAGCATAGATTTCCTTTCTATGTTCGTGGCAGGACGCGACGCGGCACGGCGCAACGGGGCAATGAGACATAATTGCGAGCCTGTAGCTTTCCCCTCAGTGGACCTGTTGTACATGTGTATGATAATAATAACACAGACGATGACGATCTGGTGGCTAAGAGTTTTCTGACGACCTCATCCTCAGAGGACAGATCCAAGACACTCCTCAACCTATCCTATGTCAGGTATGTAGACATTATATACCCACCACACGGTACGGTACTATTTTCAACTATGCTTATGGTTAAGTAGCAGCAAATTGATGTTCCTTATGCAACTCTGAATAATGTTCGATTCGATATAGTTTTTACTGGAGTATAAGTGTGCGGCTTCCCATATCCAGTGGGCGAGAAGTACAGTAAAACACCTGTACTCATTCTGTTCTCCTGGTCTTCCCTAAAATTGAGTGATCAGAGAAGGTTCAATACCTTCAAAACCCCATACTGATACATTAGTGTGTTAATCCTCTGAGGGCCACCTCTGAATAAGGAATGTGAGTCAGAGGTTGAACTGTATCTGTTCTACTGCCGCAGTACCAGTCCAGTCCGTTATCCTGGCTACTTCTACTCGGGGCCTCCCATACCTCTCAACCTGGACCAGGGAGACGGCTCCTCCACTGAGGGAACTCCAAGTATGTCCCCATCATCACTCACTCTCTATTACCTTTTCCACTGACTGTATATATACTGTAGTTCTCGTGGCCCAACATGCTCTGCACGCAACTTCTGTTCTGTGAGAGTCTTGTGAAAGTGAATTGGGCAGAAGTTGTGCAGCTTGTCCCTTGCTACAAAAAACCGCACAAGAATTTCTCAACATACACTGGACAACTGTATGTAGATAAAGTTGCCCTGGTTTTGGCTTTAGCATGCCACCGTCCGTGTATTGAAGAGTTTTTGCGGAAAAAACAACTTCTGTGATTTCATAGATTTTATGCAATTTTGACAGTAAATACTTGGTTTGTCAATGCTATGCACGTCCGACAAAATGCAGAAAACTTTGCTATTGAGTGATTCGCTGAAGTTTTTATTGTGTTAGGAGTTATCCTCAATAGTAAAGAGCCCTATCAATTAGATTGTAAATCACGTAAGCTAGGAATGTCTCTCGGTTGGGTAACTGGTCTCAAAATGTCTGCTATGCAACAAAATGGCAAGCCTCAACATTCAAAATGGGTTAGTATCCATGTTCTACTGGATATAGTCCACACCCTGTGTATAATGAAGGAAAGGGTTAGCAGCCCCTCGAGAAAGAAGCCCTCTTAACTATATAGATTGCACACTGACTGCAGCTAACTGAGCTGCCCTGGTAGCTTGTGGTGTGTGTGTGTGTGTGTGTGTGTATGTGACTGGTGTTGTGTGACGTGGTGTGTGTGACTGGTGATATGTGACTGGTGTTGTGTGACTGGTGATATGTGACTGGTGATATGTGACTGGTGTTGTGTGACTGGTGATATGTGACTGGTGATGTGTGACTGGTGATATGTGACTGACTGGTGTTGCAGGTAAGACAGTTACATCGGAGCCTTCCTCACAGAACAGTAGTTTCAGCTGCACTCCCAACTCCAAGCCACTTCTCTCGAAACAAGTGGAGCTGAGGTCTGCCAACAGAAGTCTCAGTGTGGGGCCCAAGAACCTACTAGAGGTACGGTCTCCCTGGCTGATTTGAGGTTTATTGGAATGTCAAGTGTGTGTGAGTTCATCTGTCATACCCCCCACTGCAGATGTTTGGGGAGGTTGGGGACTGAAAGACTGGACCTCATTTTCACCATCTCCTTATGTGTTTCGTCATTTTCATTTCAAAATCAGTCATTTCTGTTGCGTTCTTGTTCTCCCATTCTGTATTACACAGCAGCACAGGCAGCAATTTTTATTGTGAAATTATTTGCTTCCGGTTGAACTTGACGTATACTTCCGCGTTTCTCCGTAAACCATGCGCATTTTCCGTCTACGTGGCAATCGCCTCGTGTTATTTACAATCTTCGCGCGCTTTGTGGGGAAAAGCTCTAAAGCCACCTGAGTATTGTCTGACGGAAGGGTTTTCAGCGGAGGATAAGCTGGACCATCACGACCAATGGCCATACAGGAAGACCATTTGAAAGAGGACATATTCTCCGACAGCTATCTGGACGCCTTCTACAAGGCGCACGTAGCAGCGCGGAGCGGGCGAGGGAATCTGGACGAAGACATAGCCGCCCTCGAGGCAGAGATCCGCAAGTGAGTTTCGCACGGCTCTTCTACTATACTACTTGTAGTAGGAGAGCCCTACGGCGTAGGTGTTGATTGTGAAGCTAAGCAGGTTAGCTAGCAATGTGTGTTGAGGCGTCCGTAGCGCTGGGCGCAGGTTGTTAGCAGCATTGATTGTGCCTGGCATTGACTGGGGTGAGTACAAGGTGGTGAAAGGTTGGGACAGGAGTGTGAATGGGTGGTGTGTGGGAAAAGAGTGCACCTCACCCAACATGCTTTCTGATAGAGGCTTGCCCTTGGCTGGGTTGACCTACACCACTAGAAATTTGGGACTGATGCTGTGGTCTCAGTCTACCCAACCTGAAAACCAAAAATCGCCTACTATTTTGGAAAGAATCACACATCCTACTGTTGTGGCATTCCTCCCACCCCTTTCTTGGTGGAACTTACTCCTGCATTACCTCCCCCACCTCTAGTGGCCCTCCATTCCCTCCCCCACCTCTAGTGGCCCTATTCACTGGGCCCACAGCCTGCCATGTAGCTGTTTTCACCTCATCAGTGACACTGGTGGTCCTGTCAGACACGACTCACTGAACAATGCCACTGGCTGGTGTATGCCAGTTCTGTTGCTAGGGCGAATGCAAGTGGTCATTCCATAAGGAATATTATCTTTCTCCTTTCCCTCTCTCCTGCCCTCCATTCTCCTATCCTTTCTCTCTTCTCTCTCTCTCCCCTCCTTCTTCCCTCCCTCCTCCCTCCCTGCCGTGTGGTCCAGAGTTCAGAGGTACAGGTCACAGTTCCAGACCTACCGGTGGGACACTCCTCTCAACTCGTGTGCCAGTTCTGAATGTTCTGATGACGATAGTGATCTGTCTCCAGTGGTCAGTCCTACGTACCTTCACAGGGTTTATTTCAGGGGGGCCAGGCTCCCCCCCCCATCCCCCCAGGCAGGATTCCTTTGCCCCCCTAGGAATTGCCTGATGCATTATACTGTGTAGCGTGGCCTGTGAGCACTTTAAGATATCTGGCTGACACTGTTCCAAAATATGCCTCAGAATCACTCTCAAAACCTAGGGGAGCGTTGGACCCCTCTGGGCAACAATTTGTGACTGCAAAACTTGTTTTGGTCCCCTTCACAACAGCCAATGTCATAACCTGTAGCTCTGCGTTTGGTCCACGTCCCCTCCTCCAGTTGAACACTGAAACAAGCCCCCTCTCCCACCTCCCTGGTCAATGTGGAATGTATAGAGGTGCTTGTTGCTTTCAACATTATATTACTGCACGAAAGGGTTCTATGCTGTGTGTTCCTGTGGGAGAACTGGTACAGTCCATTTTTTGCTTACTAAAATATAAATCTGAAAAAAACCGCTATATAATTATGTTAGTGAGAGAATATCTTTTGTTCTCTGCAGGAGTGCAGCAAGACTTCCGTCTTCAAGGTCTACAATAGCAGCTGCTCTAAGATTAATGGGGAAACCCCTGTTGCTAAGGGACCTAGTATATTTTCATGGGCACTACGGCAACAGATTCTGCACGACCACACCTACTGTCGTCCCAGTTCCGTTCCACCTCAGATAGCCATCGATCATGGAACAGTGACGATAAAGAACATTCCATGGTGAGTGTTATATCTCTAGTTCCTAGTCTCGTATATACCTCCATCCACAAGAGGGAGGAGCTTCTTGTAGCATGAACTAAAACCTGGTTAAGACGTCATTTCCGTACCATTCTTCTAGTGTGTGATCTGATCCCCTTTTGATGCATACGGGGCCTGCCTGCATAGTTGATTGGCCGTTCTTCCATCTGATTGGAGATCTCGTTTTGGAGATCTATGACCAGCAAATATGTTAGTAGTCACCAGATCCCTACCCCTCGTGATGTGTGGGTGACTAGATTATCCTCAGACCTGATGAATGAGTAAGCCACACCCACTGCTGCAGGCACCAGTTGTCCCCAGTCAAGAGAGCCCGAGCTGTGTCTCGCCTCTCTTCCATCCTCCAACACCAGCCATCCTCCGACGAAGACCCTCTCTCCCCCTCCTCCTTCGAATTCCTTCCTTTCTCCCTCGCCAAGTCCCTCCAGAGAAATTCCTGTGCAGGTCAGTGCTGTGTGCTCTCAGTAAAACTCCAACTGCAGCACACAACTCCACAGTTCAGTGTACAAGTGAAACGACACTTTGTTCTGCTCCATTCTATCATGTTACCTCTGAATGAGGGACACCTGAATGATGGACGCTTTTTATCTCCGCAAAGTTTCCCATTTTCAGAGGCAACGTGCACTGAGTGTCAGAAGTTAATCCCATTTCCATCTTAGCGGTGTTTCAGGCAATGATCATGAACCCAGACATACGCCCCTCCCCTTTTCCCTGCAGCTGGTGTCTCGTTAGCAAAGGGGTCGGCTCTGCTAAAGGGGAGGCTGAAGAGCAAGGCTGCCATGGTAACCTGTCAGAGGATTGACATCAGAGGCATTAGGAATAAGAGCAGAGATCAGGTATGTATGTATGTATGTGGACTGGAAGTCCGTCCGTCATTCCACTGCACAGTGGAACCTCCGAACAAGGGACACTATGGGGCCAACGATTTTGTCCCTTGTAGAGAGGCTGTCCCTATCGTGGAGGTCAAATAATACACTAAAGTATTAGCATGGGGTTGAAACAAGTGTCCTTTGTAGAGAGGTCGTCCCTGTCTCAGAGGGTCCGTTATCCGAGGTTGTGCTCTCTATTGCAGGTACTAGGGTCTGGCAGTAGTAGAAACACATTACGGAAGAGGAGGCATTCGCCATATATCCATCGTCGCAGCACAGGCAGTGTGGAGGTAGGGAGAGGGAGGGCTGTCATGTGACCAAATGTCCTATGTATGTATGTATGTTGTACAGTGCCGCATTGCATCACATGGCAGGCTGAGTGTGAACCAGGCTTGAAAGTAACCAAAACCCAATAGCATTGCTCAATAGTCACCAGAGGTCGGGGTCTGGGTAGTTTAGGGGAGCAATCAGAACATTTCATAACAGTGATAGTGTACAGAGAGGGTGAAACGCAACACAACTGAGTCATGTCGTATGCATGGTAACTGTCATGTGATCGTTTGCCATTGGGTTTGGACACTAGGTGTGTGGGGAGAGTTGGCATGCCATAGGCCTGTGAGGATTATTCCTTGTTTTGCCCTATTATTCTTTTCCTCAATTGCTCCCATTGTTCCCACACAATTCTCCCTATTAATCTCAAGTATTCTCAAGAACATGTATCAGATTGTAAGTGTTGTCTCTGTAGCTAACTATACGGCGTGCTTTGAAGAACACTTGTGGGGAACTCGGCAATCTTTCTAGCAGTGGCAATCTCAGACTGAGTCTCAATTCTTACTGTAGCTTTGGTGACAACAGTTTCTTGACCTCCACAGGAATTGGTATCTAGCCCCCATGCAGAAACATGCATGTTTGCCCCGCCCCCTCAGCTAAAATTATTGCCGTATGTACAATGGTAAGTATGTACCTGATTGAGTGTGTGTTTGTGTGTGCAGGCAACCCGTGTTAGGAAGAATAGCTCTGGATCCGAGGAGATGGACATAATAATCGACTAGTCGCCCGAGTCTCTGTCTCATCAGGTGATGACATGACGACACCTGCGGACGCCGATTAGTAACCAATTCCCCCATCACTTTTGTTGTTGTTGTTGTTGTTGTTGTACAGAATTCACCAATACAAAATGTTCACATTGACAATGACAGTGATATATATAAATATATAAATATAAAGCGGTATACGAAGTATATAAGTCTGGAAGTTAGTTGCCATTAATTTGTGTCTGAAGTGATTGCGCATGCCTCACCAGCTGCGAACTGAAGGACAGTCCTGACCAGCCACTAACTTGAGGTAGGCACACGCTGCAGAGCGAAGCAGAGCATTGCAGGCAGAAGAGTAGCGCCTGGCCTTAGCCACCAGAGGATCGTTCTGTGCCCAGGAGGGTTTGCCTGCTGCCCCGGGGAGAGAGGAGGGGGTGTCAGGTGTTTTCCAAGTAGATGGCGTCTCAGTTTCTGCCCAGGAGGAGGTGGGTGCCTCAGTAGTGTCTAACGATGTCTCTTCCCATGTGGGGGAAGAGGGTGTGTTGTCAGTTTTCCAAGTGGATGGTGTCTCGGTACTTCCTGACCAAGTGGATGATGTCTCGGTACTTCCTGACCTGGATGATGTCTCGGTACTTCCTGACCAAGTGGATGCTGTTTCGGTACTTCCTGACCAAGTGGATGCTGTTTCGGTACTTCCTGACCAAGTGGATGATGTCTCGGTACTTCCTGACCAAGTGGATGATGTTTCGGTACTTCCTGACAAAGTGGATGGTGTCTTGGTGGTTTCTGTCCAAGTGGACGGTGTCTCGGTAGTGTCGGTCCAAGTGGATGGCGTCTCGGTGGTTTCTGACCAAGTGGACGGTGTCTCGGTGGTTTCTGACCAAGTGGGCGGTGTCTTGGTGGTTTCTGTCCAAGTGGACGGTGTCTCGGTGGTTTCTGTCCAAGTGGACGGTGTCTCGGTGGTTTCTGTCCAAGTGGATGGTGTCTCGGTAGTGTCGGTCCAAGTGGACGGTGTCTCGGTGGTTTCTGACCAAGTGGACGGTGTCTCGGTGGTTTCTGACCAAGTGGACGGTGTCTCGGTGGTTTCTGACCAAGTGGGCGGTGTCTCGGTGGTTTCTGACCAAGTGGGACGGTGTCTCGGTGGTTTCTGACCAAGTGGACGGTGTCTCGGTGGTTTCTGACCAAGTGGACGGTGTCTCGGTGGTTTCTGACCAAGTGGACGGTGTCTCGGTGGTTTCTGACCAAGTGGACGGTGTCTCGGTGGTTTCTGACCAAGTGGGCGGTGTCTCGGTGGTTTCTGACCAAGTGGGCGGTGTCTCGGTGGTTTGACCAAGTGGGCGGTGTCTCGGTGGTTTCTGACCAAGTGGACGGTGTCTCGGTGGTTTCTGAGTGGACGGTGTCTCGGTGGTTTCTGTCCAAGTGGACGGTGTCTCGGTGGTTTCTGACCAAGTGGATGGTGTCTTGGTGGTTTCTGTCCAAGTGGATGGTGTCTCGATAGTGTCGGTCCAAGTGGATGGTGTTTCTGTCCAAGTGGACTCTGTCCCGGTAGCTGCTGGGACTGACCCACTCCCACCCTCTTCCTGTTCCTCCCAGATATTGGTTACCGCAGCTTCCTTCAACCCAATCTGAAACTCTTCGATCAGTTTCTGCTCCTCTTCTGTTGGTCGATACTGAGGCAGTGGAGACAGAAATCAGTGCTATATACGTATGCTTACATGGTAGAATGCGGAGGAGAAAGAAAGAGTGTGCAACCCGCAATCAGGGATGGGCGGAATAACCCCAGTGGTCTTTATTGTATACACATGAGAGAACGCGAAACCCCTGCTATACGTATTAGTTAACGTATAGGCGGCGAGGCGGTACAGGAGATACTCCGAGGCTGTTGACTATACCGGACGAGGGCGTAGCCCGAGGCGCGGTGTATAGTTAACAGCCGAGGAGGATTTCCTGTACCCGCCAAGACGCCTGACGTTAACTGATTTGTAGTCCAACTAGCCAATCACAATGCTGAATTTCTGCTGCGTCATCTTGCACTAATGTACTAATGACTGTTGTGTAAACTTTGGAAGCCAGACAATTTGCACTACGCCTAGCGCTAGATGTTGTGATAAGGACTTCCTGTCCAATACTGATACCGGTGCAGCCGCAGCCCACAGCTCAGAATACAGCGTATATTCCTAGCACCGGGTTGTTTGAAGTTGGACTACAAATGTGCATCATTCCCGCAACTGTAAGCTGGTATATTTAGCACTGGGTATAATAATTATCTATTGGAGTTACATGCTGTTTTCCCTCCTCATGCGTTCATGATGACTCACACCAAGTCTGCTGCACAACGCTCACCTCTGGGTTGATGCCGTCTTGTAGGAAGAAAGCCTGATGATGCCACATCACTATGTACCCTGTAATCATGGATGACACGATGACATCATTGCAAGTGTAAACAGGAACCTAGCTCTGAATAAAGGACTGTTCCTGTATGGACTAGAGACTCTGTGTGGTACTTAGTGTGGTAGTGACTAGAGACTCTGTGGATTCTATAGTATTAGCTACTTCTATAGTAGCTAATATACAGCCATTATATAATCATACTGACGTCATTAACTATCACGTGTTTTATTCCCAATGAAATGGAGTAGCACCTCGAGCACGATGGCTAACGATATCCTGGCAGATCATGAATGCTACAGTTAGTGTATAACCTCCAAAAGGAATGCCTCTGAGTACAAGACACTCGGTTTACTCCGAGATTTCACTGTAACACCTGGGTTTCCTCACCGTATCCATGGTAACGCCCTGGAGCAGAGAACCGAAAGACTGAGTCGTCGACTAATCGGTTGGAGAGGTGGAATTTGTTGATTCCAGGGAACTCCATGACTGACCCGTTTCTCTGAGTGATAAAGATGGTCCTGTTCTTGAAGGTGACGTGGTCAAACACATCCACTGTAATGTGAATAGCTGATGGGTCTAGAATCTTCTTGCTATGTGACGTGAAGGCATCGGCCTGCATAAGAGAGAGAAGGTAGCACAATTACATTCTGACACCGTGGACATCAGTATCCAGTGGAACCTCCAAACAAGGGACACTATGGGGCAAACGATTTTGTCCCTTGTATATAGAGAGGTTCAGAGGCCCAATAAGTATTAGTAATGGGTTAAAAAGAAGTGTCCGTTGTAGAGGTTTGTCCCTATCTCCGAGTGTCCCTTATTGGAGATTACAATGTAGTTCAGACCAATATCTGGAGACTGTCGGACTCGTTTCTCCTTGTGTCGTCCCTGCCCCAGCCTAATGAGGCGCATCTCTGCCTCCCCTCTCTGTTCCCCTCTCTGTTCCCCTCCTTCTCAGCTCCTCTGCTCTCCCGAGACGGAGCCTCAGTACCACTCTCAGAGTCCTTGATGGTGGGATCCACACACCAGGCCAGCAAGATGAACCCATTCAGCTCTGTCTTTCTGTTAGAGATGAACTCCAATAGAAGCTCTGAGGATCCGTCAGAGTTGGTGGAGCCGTCGTCATGGGTCCCACAGGAGGTCTGGCTGGAGGCCATGCCAGGGAAGAAGAGGGTGAGTGAGTCAAGACACGACATCCCCGAGGTACCACAGCTGGCCGGCTCTTCCAGCTTGTGGACATCCATGGAATAGCTAAGAATCTGCCCCTCCGGACACTTCACATTGTACCTGTTATTACAATGGAGGGAGAGAGACGCTAAATATTGACTTTGCTCATTAGGTGGAGGAGTGAAGCTCCCCCACTTGCACAGTCAGGGAAAGAGGTAGTAAGGAGTATGCCCAGTGGAGCACTGGGAAAAGAAACTCCCGCTAGACAGTAAACACAGACCTGCAGATGCTGCTCTTTCTGTACTTCTGGTTGGTGACACGCTGGAAACCCTGGGAGAACACGGACAGCTTGAAGTCTACACCCACCACCAAATCCTTGTTGTGGGTGTTGGCCACCAGGGAGGCCTGGCAGAGGCCAAGATCAGGGTCGATACAGGTTCTGTAGCAGGTCTGCGTGCTGTGGGGAGAGATCAAACGTTGTTTATTGAGCATATCCTGCAGTCGTGTGCACTGAACACCTTCAAGTTCAATTCCCTACAGGAAGTGTGTGTGTGTTAGCTAATGCTTACTTGTCGTCGGGGAACTCTAGCTGTCGCGGAAAGCCATCCTCGGAGACGGCGAAGCACGGTATGTATGTATCAGAGAGTCTACCGTCGCGGAGTCGCCCAGTGGAGCAGTCTGGATTCGGGGACGAGTAACGCCGGCTGCAGGTCGCCTCGCTCCCCACCAGCAGACTCACTAGCAGCAGAGCCACCGAACATAAATGTTTGTATTTCATCCTCTCCTTGGAATCCTGATCCATTCAGTTAATCTTGCACCTTTTGAAACTCCACCACAGACGACGTGCAGGGAGAGAAATAGCTCCGTTTGCCGATCCGAACTCTTTTATAAGTGCGCAGCACCGCATACGCATGCTCAGTCGAGCAGGAAACCGTGGGAGGAAGTAATCACTGAGTTGTTAAGTGGTATTACAAAACAGCATCCGGGTCTGCAGGCGCCACCGCATGTTGGCATAGACAATGATTTTTTAGTGACAAAGTACATAATAACTATTATGACAAGGACAATTTTACACAAACAGTGGTAATCATTGACTGGTAAATGTTATTGCAGGTGGTTTGTCAAATAAAGCAACGCTCCTTGAGAATCACATCTCTGTAAGTGCAGGCAGCAGCTCGCAGGAAGATGTTGCAGGCTGTGCTGTAGCGATGTGCCACTCTATCCAACTCCTTATCTGCAGGAAGTCGGATACAGAGGTATAAATAAGAGAGATGTGAGGGAGGATGCCTGCCTACTTCTGCGGAAATGCCTCTCGCAGCGGCTCTGCTGGTACGGAACTCCCGTCTCCTCTGCGTCGGTGGCGTCATACACATCAAAGAAATCGTCACATTCCCTGGCCTGGCTGACAGCTACCCTCAGTCTGAAGATTAGCCCATTTTCCTCTGGCGTAGGTTTGTCCTGTTATATAGCCATAGGATCTCTCCCTCACACAGAGGAGAGTGGCTGATTCTTACCTCAGGTTTTATTCCCAGGCGATCAACGAAGGCTTCATTACTGCACACAAACAGCCTGGCTGGAGAGAGAGAGTTCACAGGTTTATAACTCTTTCCCTGTATTATACCCACGCAACCACTCACCATATCCCTGTACGTATCTTGCAGATCTAATAGAGCTTTCAGCCTTAAGTCTTGTGGACACTGCTAGTTTTGTGACACCTTCAGCAACATGCTCCGGGACACTTCTTCCTCTTGCCTGCAACAGTAGTATCATCAGTGAGGTATGGCAAAGTAAAACAAACCAATGACACCCAGGAATTTTTAAGAGCTGCCCTGGGTGGGATGGAACCCTAGGCAGAGTGCTCTACCACTTCATTACCACGTGGCAGCTCAGCTGGCAGGGCTCATAATATACTAAAGGCAACCCCAAAAACTTAACTCTATACCCAACTGTAAGGTCACCTTTTCTTAACGATGGTCAGAGTGTTATCTCTGAACCTCAGAGTCTCCATCTCTCTGATGGTAAACTCGCTGCAGCGACCAATGTTCTCAGGTCTCAGTTTCACCTCACCTGGAAATACCTCCCTCTGGGTGGCACAGGAGGAAGTGAAAGATGATATCGTCAGACTAAAATAACAACCAACCCATACTTGGCCTATAATACCAGGGGTACCCAATGCAACCTCCTCCTCCCTGTGGCGAGACTAACTATGTCAACCAGGACAGCACCCACCCTCTCCTCTCTCACTCCCTCTCTTCTTGCTGGTCATGTGTCTGTCTCACCAGACGTGCTGCACTGTCCACTTGTCTCTGGACATCAGGAGTCACCTCCCGACACTCTGACTCTGCTATCTGCACCGACCTCTTCCTGCTTGGCAGTAGAGTGGTATTGATGGTTGGATCATAGCACATGATGTTCATCTTGAAGCCGGCTGCCTCCTCTTCTCTGTTGGCGTAGAACTCAACATAGACTCCAGAGAAACCATCAGCAACCACTTGTCCCACAGGAGCATTCACTCCACAGGTTTTTTCATCGATGGTCGAGTCCAGAAGACTAACCCTCACATAGTCCACACAGTATTCAGTGTTGCTAGCTGCCGGACAGGCAGCGGCAGTCTCTAGGGTGTGGTTGAGGAAAGTGTAGGCTGCAATCTCCCCCTCAGGACAGGTGACATTGTACCTGGAGTGAGATAGGGAAAGGAGTGAGACTGAGGTGATGGGCTGGCCCATATGCCAACAGCTGCATGCCAATTCACCTGCATATGGTGCTCTTCCTGTAGTCCTTAGGGTCATTGAAGTTAGGAGAGAAGATGGTGCGAGTGGTGATGTTTTCAGTGGTAGAGATCGGCACCTCCTCTGACTGCATGTTCTGGTTATGGACGCCAGTTAGACTCGCTTCGCAATGGGACGGGTTGTACATATTCGCGCTGTCGTGACAGGTTCGATAGCAGGTCCTCGTGCTGCAAGAGGAGGTGTGAACACTTGCATCCACCGTCTTGCTACATATCTAGCCTTACTTGATGTCTGGGAACTCTAGCTGACTCGGGATGCCGCCACTATAAACGAAACACGCTGGTCCACTGACGGTGCTACAGTCGTCGGGATAGGTACCTGACATGGTGTTGAAGGCCCGTTTGCAACCACCGAGAGCTCCTCCGCAGAGAAACTGCAGCAATGCTGCGATCAGGAGCGCTGTTCTGCATCCCATGTTGAATCAGTTAGAGAGGAGTGATGCACAATGCTGGGTTTCAAAGACCTAAGAAAAACTCGCGTGAACGACGAACTTCGTCCTTTTATAGCCTCGCCCGCCTGCGCGCTGATTTTTCATTACGCAGCACTGCACGGTGTGTAGCAACTGAAAGGCTGGAAATCCTGCTATATAGATTCTTCAAGTATTCCCCACTGCAGGGTGCATACATACCTTCTTCACCGGTGGTGTTTGAGCTACACTCCTTGCATGAAAAGTGGGATTGACCTAAATGACGAGCTGCATTCTGCAATGCTCACTGAGCTAGTGAAAACCTGAGACTCAGAGGATGGTCTCAAATGAAGACCAGAGGATGAGTTGAGCCACTCACTTCCACTCCAGCCCCATTCACATACATCAGCCAGGGTCCAATGTAGCATGGTGTGAGTCCAGAGAATGAAGAGAGCAGATGGGTTGACCTGGGCTCTAGCTAACAACAAAACAGTAAACCTCATTCACGTGCAAGTCTATTACCAAGATGACTTGCAGCAACCACACGTGGCTGAACCACATTCAAGTCCCAATATCTATATAGCACCCCTCTCTGTCCTTCCTGCCTCTTGTGCAGACCGTTACATCACCATTACATCACATTATGACACACAAGTTATAGACTTTCAAGCTAGCCTCCATAATGAGTTTTAGGGGTTCTAATAATAGGTGCTAACACAGAGATGAGTTTCTGCATACATTATAAGAGATACCCGTGGTGTCGGAAGGGTTGATTTAGTACGTGTACAACAACTGAAACGCTCAGAACCTTTGGACAAATAATAATTTTTTTATACACAATATTGTGACATGGAGAAGTGAAGGAGGCTAAGGCTAAGAGTTGAACTCATCGTCCGAGAGGTACAAGTCATTGCCGGCCTCAGGAGGGCGGGGCACGGGGCTAGAGCGAGAGCTGACATCGTTAATTGCCGCCTCCAGTGGGGACAACCTCTTTGATTGACTGGGAGGCAGATTGGTCTGCAGTGAGGGCAGGAGAAGAGTATGAATATGGTTAGTTAGTAAACCACTTCCTGTAGGTAGCTGACCTGGACTGTCACCGGCTGCTCCTTGCCTGGCTCAGCCTTTGGGAAGTAGGAAGTCACTGAAACAACAGACGGCGATGTCATACAGTGAATATGGGAAATACAGAGCCACCACTAATGTGAAGGTTGTATTATAGGCAAGCGAAGGGAGCCCCCTAGTCATCTGAATAATAGTAACGGCGGAAAAACGCACACACTGTAACACTTACATGACTCTAAATATGCACGAAAAAATGAACTGCAGGACTTCTAAACTGTCCTCAATTCAGAGGCTTCCCTCATCTGAACATTGTATTAGTATGGGAGAACCAAGTGTCCTTTACTCAGAGAGTCCTTTACGGCACCATCATACAAAAGGTCAGCAGTGGGATGAACTCACTCCCGTAGGCAAAGGCAGAGGCGGAGGCAGCAGGAGAGGTGAAGTGGGTGTGTCTTCCAGGGTCCACCAACCCAGGCCTGACCTGGCCCCCGGGGCCAGAGGCTCCCTGGTACACCTGTCGCTGTTGTTGTTGTTGGGCTAGCTGTTGTTGTTGTTGTTGTTGTTGTGCCAACTGTTGTTGATGTATAGCGGGGTGTATAGGAGGCTGAGCAAAGACAGGAGGTGGTCTGCCAGGTATGAATGGTGGCTGGGTGGCTGACAGGACATGTGGTGCCCTGATCCCCGGGTTCTCAACTCCCACACTAGTAGTACTGCGTACAATCTGCAGGAGCTCCTTTAGTGTGAGTGAGTGAGTGTGTGAGTGCGTGGTGTGTGAGGAGAGAGAGAGAGAGAGATCACAGCACAGCACAGGATGTGGTACCCTCAATGACTCTAGTTTAGGCAACAGTATTGCCAATAATCCACAAAGCCATTGTGCTGAATCTTTATTTGCATACAAATTACCAAAATACCGACTCATAAAGAGAGCTCAATGCAATAAGTTTACACTGACACTAGGGCTGGGACTCTCCACAGAGCTACTAGTGAAGCTGTATGCACAACTCCCCCACTTTACACACTGCAGCACTATAAGTGGTGACCCACCCAGTCTTCTGAAGCGTGAAGCATGCGATATTTGTGATACTCAAGTTTGAATAAATCCACTAAAATGTCACACTTGAGTTGCTCGCCAGTAATGCGATTGCTTTTGTTCTGGCATTGCTCTAGTAAGCACTAGCTCACCCTGTACATGGTGATTTGTTGGTTGACCAGTTCACTCTGTCTTCCAAGGTTGGCTCTCTGGCGCGACAGGTTTTCCTTCAGTCCCGGACGATTGTTCTGAGGGTTCTGGAGGTGCATGTCGCACCATTTCATGTAGTTGGTGAGTCCGTCGATGATGGAGGTCAGGAACGGAGGCAGGTCAGCTGGTGGGGGGTGAAAGTATTGTGTTTAGCACACACACATACACACTGGCCGAAAGAGAAAGAACCATAAACCAACCACAACTGCTGTCCCCATTCCCAACCAACCACAACTGCTGTCCCCAATTCCAAACAAACCACAACTGCTGTCCCCATTCCAAACAAACCACAACTGCTGTCCCCATTCCCAACAAACCATAACTGCTGTCCCCATTCCAAACAAACCACAACTGAAATACCAAACAATGCTTGAAAGCAAGAAACTGAAAACCCTATAGCAGACATGGAGGTAACAACAAATGAACACCCAAACCAAATACTGTAACCCATGCTGCACACACCGAGGGTTAGTAGGTTACTAGTGTCATGTGAGAGGGAGGAGTTAAGACAACTTACGGGCATATTTGTGTGCCACGACAGCCATAGGGTAGAGGGCAGGGGTCATGGGGGTCACGGGAGGGACCACCCCTTGGCCCAGGATTGGATTGGGTACAGTGGTGGCATTCAGGAGTGCCGCTGTAGGTCCAGGTCTGTGGGGGAGAGATACAGTACACCCATACCCACATCCACCCTACCAACACTTCATCTACATACATTGTCTCATAGTTTGCTAATCTTCCGGTGTCAGAACAGTACTTTTGAGGGGTAAACCCTCCTAATTCAACTAAAGTTGTCTGTGAGTGTCGTTCATCCATGGGATTGGGGGTCTGTCAAAGCTCCCTTTCAGAGTGGGCTACAGTCGACGGTCCATGGGACCAGTGTTTTCTAGAGGTGCAACAGTGCGAGGTGCCATGGGACCAGTCTTTCAGAGGTGGACTACAGTCTAGGTGCCATGGGACCAGTCTTTCAGAGGTGGACTACAGTCTAGGTGCCATGGGACCAGTCTTTCAGAGGTGGACTTACAGTTTTCTAGTGCCATCTTTAGGGGGCTGTTTGCACGGACCAGTCTTTCAGAGGTGGACTACAGTCTAGGTGCCACGGGACCAGTCTTTCAGAGGTGGACTACAGTCTAGGTGCCACGGGACCAGTCTTTCAGAGGTGGACTACAGTCTAGGTGCCACGATGACCCCTCAGTGCTTTCAGAGCTGGACTACAGTCTAGGTGCCACTGGACCAGTCTTCAGAGGTGGACTACAGTCTAGGTGCCACGGGACCAGTCTTTCAGAGCTGGACTACAGTCTAGGTGCCACGGGACCAGTCTTTCAGAGCGTGGACTACAGTCTAGGTGCCACGGGACCAGTCTTTCAGAGCTGGACTACAGTCTAGGTGCCACGGGACCAGTCTTTCAGGGTGGACTACAGTAGGTCCACGGACCAGTCTTTCAGAGGTGGACTACAGTCTAGGTGCCACGGGACCAGTCTTTCAGAGGTGGACTACAGTCTAGGTGCCACGGGACCAGTCTTTCAGAGGTGGACTACAGTCTAGGTACCACGGGACCAGTCTTTCAGAGGTGGACTACAGTCTAGGTACCACGGGACCAGTCTTTCAGAGGTGGACTACAGTCTAGGTACCACGGGACCAGTCTTGGGGTAAGTGGTCCAGAGAGAGAGAGGTGTTACCTGCGTAGGATGCTCTCCACCTCCCTGACTCTGTGCCTCAGGACATCAGGTCTGGCCACCAAACTTGCCTGCTCCTCCACCGATAGTTTCAGGAGCTCCTCTGTGTACCAGAGAGAGAGATGGAGAGAGAGAGAGAGAGGGAGAGAGAGAGAGAGGGAGGGAGAGAGGGAGGGAGAGGGTTGGTTAATCAAACAGACAGAGAGACAGTCGTGCAGGAATTATATTCTGTTCTAAACTTAGAAGCTCATGTGATTCTAAATCCAAGCAAACAATTGAACTCCTCGCGATTGCTCGCCAAAAATGATTGGTATTTGTTATGACTCTATCAGTATATACCCATAGTTGTTAGTGACTGTTGAAACAAGCAGGACCGCCAAAGTGTACCAGTGTGTGTGCGTATGTTACCAGTGATCTTGGAGATGGTGACATCGTCATTACCCTGAGCAGCCATCTCTGCCACATGGGACCTCAGTGTCTGATGTCTCACCTCAGCCGGTAGCCCTGGGAACCCCACCCCCGGGCTGCAGGGGGAAACCCCTCCCTCTCATCTCACTCACTCACTTGGGGACCCCTCTAATACAGGCACCAGTGGGACAGAACTAGAGCAGGCCGTACACGCGGCAACTTTGTTGCTCAATGGCCTGCTTACGTATGTGTCTGTATTAGTGAGGTGTCCTCATTTCAGTGGTTAAAGGCGTTCAAGAAGAGGTACTAGAGAGATCCTCATTTCAGAGGTGTCCCGTTAGAATAGTTGTCTGTATTAGTGAGGTGTCCTTATTTCAGTGGTTAAAGGCGTTCAAGAAGAGGTACTAGAGAGATCCTCATTTCAGAGGTGTCCCGTTAGAATAGTTGTCTGTATTAGTGAGGTGTCCTCATTTCAGTGGTAAAGGCGTTCAAAGAAGAGGTACTAGAGAGATCCTCATTCAGAGGTGTCCCGTTAGAATAGTTGTCTTTATTAGTGAGGTGTCCTTATTTCAGTGGTTAAAGGCGTTCAAGAAGAGGTACTAGAGAGATCCTCATTTCAGAGGTGTCCTCTTAGAATGTGATTCTGTATTAGTGAGTGTCCGTATTTCAGTGGTTAAAGGCGTTCAAGAAGAGGTACTAGAGAGATCCTCATTTCAGAGGTGTCCTCTTAGAATGTGATTCTGTATACACACTATTCTTCTGTTATTCACTTAGAATAGTAGGATACAGATTTCTGTGCACACCTAACCAGGTGCTAGCTCTATGGCCAGCGAGGCAGGCTGGGAGCGAGGGGGTTAGGGCTAGACTAGAGCTGTGTTGAATTGGTTATGTGACTAATGAATTCACACACCAGCAGATGTAGGGTAAATAGCTTGGTGCCTTACCCCGGATTTTACCACTGTTAATATTCAATTTTACCACTGTTAATATTCAATTATTGTTGTAGTGATGGATGAATAGGGGGCCTGGTGTGCTACTATTATTAGTATATACAACATTACAGATATTGACACACATTCAATCACAGAATTGCATAACATCTGTACATGGTCAGCATGTGTGGGTGAGGAATGCGTCGTTGCTCCAACAAGTAAAAATTAATAATCACCATGTCATGTATTAATACTCTAGGCAGGAGGTGTCTGACCACGTACAGGCAAGAGATAGAGAGTCAAGTACAGAACTTATGTGTGAGTTTTAGTGGGAGGGAAGATAGTGACTTTGAGTGACATGTGAATGTAGTCATGTTAGTGCCCTTGTAGTATCAATAGGCCAGAGAGGCTCAGCCCCTTCCGCTGTGTTTACTTGTGCATGATACTCAATGCATCAGGGAGGTCCCATGTACATATAGACACATGCGCTATGCAGACCTTCACTCCAAGACCACCTCCATCAAAGTACTACCACGTCTGCTTGGCTTGTAGGTGGTCACTTACGTAATAGAGGTTATACTGTATATACCACTGACCTTGGTCCAGTAGTGGGAGGTGTGTACAAGTGAGACTGGCATGTACCTACTAGCAGCTACCACCACTGACCTTGGTCCAGTAGTGGGAGGTGTGTACAAGTGAGACTGGCATGTACCTACTAGCAGCTACCACCACTGACCTTGGTCCAGTAGTGGGAGGTGTGTACAAGTGAGACTGGCATGTACCTACTAGCAGCTACTACCACTGACCTTGGTCCAGTAGTGGGAGGTGTGTACAAGTGAGACTGGCATGTACCTACTAGCAGCTACCACCACTGACCTTGGTCCAGTAGTGGGAGGTGAGGTGGCAGGAGCAGATACAGGAGAAGCCATGGAGACAGCAGAAGGAGGAGGAAGAGGAGGAGCTTGCTGCTGTGGCTGTGGACACACAGACAGACAGACAGACAGACCGTTTTTATGTGTATTACCCTGTATTGAAGCCACTCACTATGGGAGGAGTTTGAACCTTCCTGATATTCTGGAAGAATTGCTTGTTCTTCTTCTCCAGTATTTTCCTGGGAAGGAGGCAGTATAACAAGTACAGTGAAACCTCTGAATATGGGACACCCTTGGGACATTCTTGGGACACCCTTGGGACATTCAAAGTGTCCTCCATTCAGATGTCTCGCTTACTGGGAGGTACATCTAACAGTGCATTAGTAAGTGTTTGAGAGGTGTCCTTTAGTCCCAGGTTTTACTGCATTAGGATCATGAGGTATAATTACACTGCATTGTGTGGGTATCTAGACTAGACTCACATGCGTACACAGTGGTTTTTTGTACGGTATAATATTCCATCTCGGAACTTGAGAAATGAAACGAACTTTTTCCGCGACAAAAACATAAGGACAAGCAGGTGTATGTACCAGCAGAAAGTACCTGGTGAACAGTTTGGTCTGCAGTAGAGCCTCAAACCGAGCTGCATTTGGGTACTCGAAACTGTCGAGATCTCTGAGGCATTTCTTGATGAGCTCCACCCAACACAGTCTGTTGGAGCCCACGGTACAGAGAGTGACTGGCTCCCCACACACCACCAACCACTCCTTGGCCCTTGTCACTGCCGTGTTGAATAGCTGAGAGAGAGGAGAGGGAGGAGGGGGAGAGAGGAGGGGGGAGGGGGAGAGTGTATGACATGCGTAAATGACGTCACTGCTGGTAGGTGTGTGTACACATGCACCATTCCTCAAAATTTAATGTGTGCATTGCGTATGCTCAATCTAATCTCATTTCCTGTATTGTGGCATTGGTGTATTTCCTGTGCATGTGTGTTGTGCACGTGTGTTGTGCAGAGAGGTCTGATCTGTTGCCATGTGCTAGCTTCCTAACAGTCACTCCACGTGGACAGTGGGTCCATCTTCATAGGGGGGAGAGAGAAGAGGGAGAGAGAGGGGAACCAGACCTTGGGGTTGGTGAGGAAGCCAGCGTCCTCCTCCAGGTCATCGTCATCTCTGGCGTAGCAGGTTCTGACGGTGGACAGGAGCAGAGCTCGGAACTCCTTCCCCTGCACGTCGTCCACTCGGAACACCGCCACCTGGGACCAGGGGTTGACGGGGGGACACGGAGGGAGGGGGTGTGGCCTACCTGCCCCAGCCTCTCGTTCCTGAGCAGGTGTCTGATTCTGGTGACCTGTTTCTGGTAGTAGGAGAGGACACATATCTCCTGCTGATCCAGTCCCTGGCTCGCCAGCAGCTTCACCTGCAGACAGTGATATAATTATACTACCTCTGAACCAGGGAAACCTTGGAGAGCTAGTTCTTCGGGAGGTGTCCCTTATTTGGAAGTAATAACAATACACTGATATGCAGAAAGACTTGAACACAATGATGGTGAACGAATGTGAATGGCAAGTGCGAAATTGAAGCAGTTTCACGTTGAGTTACGTTAATATATTACAGTGTGTACCACAGAATTGAATGGAAAGACAATTTGAGTCAT